GACGCTTTGGGAGTTGGCTGTATTCCCGTCTTCAAGTAATTTGTTTAATTGTACTAACAGAGTTCTGCCACTCTTCTTGTATTAGTGGTGATCTGGCGATTTCGTGATTAGAGTACTAGCCTGAGAATTCGAAAATGTCCCAGGTTCTATGCAAACTTTTGATACTAATGGTAAATCAAAACGTTTGTTTTGCCCGAAAACTCTGTATGGACTATCGGATCTTGATGATTCTTGGCAACGGAATGCTGCCAGAGGTCATACAACGTTTGTAACTTTACGTGCTGTTAGTTTTCTGTCATCACTAATATGAACATGGCGGCAGCACGAAAGCTGTGTATCTTTTTGTTTGTTGTTTGCGTCTAGGTATGTGATGTTTTTGTTAAGACGGATCATAAACACGCCAACAAATTTTGTATGGAATTGTTTTTATGTCAAATGTGGCAAACATGGCGACGGTGCGAAACACCAAGATTGTATATGAAGGTTTAACGGAGTGTGACTTTATACTGCATTTAATTTATATTGTGCACATAAATGGATAGCATTTCGTACTTTTTCACTTTGTATTTCTTGTTACCCTCATCGTTGAAGCATCAGAAGTGAAGCGGGCATTATAAGTTTCTCTTTTCCAAGAACTTGTTGCAACGTAAGGAAGTCTTCGAACACAATCAAAAGGCTGAGCTGAAGGCCAAGGAAGACGAGCAGAACAGTAATGAAAGAACGTGCACCCACGAGTAAATGAGTAACTGACGAACAATTTCAGGTCACACCCACTGTGTCAAAGACCTACTGACCCCATGTTCAGTCGCCACATTCTTGCGTGGGGGACCCGTATTGTGTGCTTATAAAATACCAGAGCACTCAGGTTTAATGGGTGTGAAAATTGGTTTTTCGCTCGAAGGAGAGTAACACTGATTGGAGATATTTGAGAACAAATTTGATCTAACAAAAAGCAGATGGGGAAAATTCCATAATTAGGAGCTTTATAATTTGCACCCGTTACCGAATATTGGTACGACAGTTAATCAAAGGGCTGTGAGGCAGGTGGGAAATAAAAATGCATATAAATTCTGTAAAACGACAAATATCTGCTTAGGACAGGAATGAGAACGAGAATATTATTAAAATTGGTGTTGGATAAATACAGATTGAAGTTGTGGACTAAACTGGCTCCGGATATGTTTTAGTGTCTAGCCTTTGTGAACAATGGTCGATAAGCTCGGAGGGTTTTTTGACCATTTGAGTCTCAACTTACCAACTATGCACTCCAGGGTCAATTACAACTTTTTCCTCTGTCATATTGAAGCTGAATGTTACGCTCCTGTGATTCTGAGTATCTTTACCGTAGCGTCCTGTGTAGGGCAAGATGACGAGGTTTTATAATGAACTTTCTGATTTCATGGTAGCTCTGGGGCTTTCGATTAAATAAATAACTATTCTGAGACGAGATTTTCATGTCGATGTTGGGCATCTGGATTGTATCGCTGTGTGGGCTCGGTAGATATCGACGTTTCGGAGGAACATTTTACCTCCGTCTTCAACATCGACAAATATCACAATGTGATCAAGAAACGTACTCAGAACTTGGAGTTATAATGACACGGTCATGCTAAACTAGAAAATTTCGTTCCTCTAGTTTTTATTGTGAAAATACTTAGTCTGTAATTAATTCCATGCTACTGAGTCCATTCTAAGACGCTAGTATTTGCTCAGGTGGCCAATAAATAGTCGCTTTGTGTGTAGCCCGAAGTTTCAGTACCCCTAGTCCTTACCCTGATTAACATGAATCGATTCACATAGTTATATCCTATTTGTTTAAGATACATTTTAATATTATCCTCTCATCTACACGCTTTCCTTCAGGCTTTTGTATTCATTTATCAGTTATTCCATGCGTGATATTCTCCTAGTGTTTCTGTCTCCAAGTGCCTGATCCAACAGCTCCGCTAACTGAAAAGCGATACAGGCACACGTTTTAGTAGTTGGCAGGAGGACGGAGCCCCCCATGGAAACAACGGTTCTTTTCTCCCCTCGTACTATGTGGGTCAAGGTCGACTGACAGGGGTGGATGAACTTCCGTTCTGTTCGGTTTTATTCCTTTTCAAAAAAAAAAAGCCTCTACAGAGCCGTATCCAACGACGAGATTACATCTAAAGGCACGCGTGGAGGCAATATATTCTTCCGAGACATTGGAACCCACCTAGAAGACCTCGGGACGTCGCGGCCCAGAAGACCGACATCGACACCGATCATCACTGTCGTAAGAACCTCAGATCTCGTGCAGCGGTCACCCTTATTAGTCCATCGTTTAGTCGGTAGCTGGTTTACAGGTCAAAGTGCCGTCTTCTGTCTTACGCGGGTGGCGTAGTAGAGGGACGAACAGACCATAAGCAGACCAGTTTGTTAGAATACTGACCAGTGTCGACAGAATAGAATTAAACTCGCCGATTTCACAGTCCTTCCAGAAATATTTCGACTAATTGCCTCGTAATTTCGGCCTCACCATATCTGTTCCTTTCACGAAATTGTAAATTCATTTTTTTTGTCTAGTTTCCTCAGAAACGAAGTTTATCCTAAAGCTCTAGATATGATACCAAGATGTGATATTGTTACGACATTGTACATGATTCTGTGTCTTACCATAAACCTCGCAATGCAGCCTTTTACAATAACAGTTTCAATGCGAATGGCAACATTTATCGGTGCAAGTTACCTGCTGCTTGGAATGCTAGTTGCATGTGACACTAGAAGCAGGAACTACGTTATTGAGGCTCTGAATTTCCGGTCTCTACAATCTAGGTCTTAGCAATATTAGAACACCGCCATCAAGGCAATTAAGTCATGGCGAGTAGGTTAGCAAGCCGAATTGACATGCACATTAACTGCCTAGCGCAGGGGTTTTCAGCACGCTATAGCGATTCGGGTGCTGTCAAAAAATTGTAACCAGTCGATAGCAACTGTATGTACGTGTTATTTGGTTTGAAGTTAGGTGATCATGAACGAACATACAAATTCTGCTTCAGTCTTTCTTGTGTTACAAATTGTAACTATGAAATCCATCTGGTACTTTGAGGTTACTTCTGACAGCCTTCTGGCAATGTAAACTTATAGAAGATGATTAATGTGTTAAGTTAGAGGTTGGAGGTTTATCGCCATGGAACAGTCTGTTCTGAGAATCTAATGTCGCCGAGCTACTTGCGATAAACTGTTATTAGCATTTTATGCAACCCGGAAGTTGAAGATTTCTGTCTTCTGGGTTGTTGCGCCGTGTAGTATGGTAGATGTTTACCAACGTTTCGGGGGTCATTCTGCCTCGCACAACTAAGGCGCACAAGTCTAGTATTCTTTTACATACTAATCACTCTATGTGATCGGCTGTTTTTAAGCTTAAAGGATATGATGGGAGGAGTTTGACACTGAATGGGTCATGTAAACAGAAAAGTGCAAATGTTTTACAGTAGTTGTGCCGTTAACAAGAGTTTGAGTTATCTGTTGTGCCCCAGTAGTCAAGTAAATGACGGCCATGTTTGTGCAAACATGGACGCGCGAATGAATTTCCACTCCGGTTCAGGATTTTTGGTTAACAGTCATTCTTAAGAAGAACTGTAGGTATAAGTGAAAGCTTATAACGGCCTGCGTCTCCATGTAGCGTTTGTTGGCCCAGTTTTTCAGCGTTCTTTCACTGGCAGAGGTCGCCTATTATTCGTAATCGCCTCGTACATGTCAGGAATCCATTTACTGGTTATCAGTCAGACGTAAGGTGCGCGAACACACATAGTCCTAGGCAGAGCCAGTTAATGGAGCCAAGTGGCGAGTGAACTTGCCTCTCGTCTAATGCATATTATTGTTCAACATATAGGTACCTTCGGAATGTTCAATTCGCAGTATTGAACTCGAATTCCTGAAATCTTACTAGCCATGTTTGCAGTAACGTTACTTTTCGTTAGTTCAGCCTTCGTACTTGCATGCTTTCGTGCAGTAGATCGGAGGTTCTGACGGTGACGGTTATGAGATGGCTGTGTTCCTAGGATGTAGTACCGTCTGGTCTTGTAAATACTAACTGGCATTTCAGGGAGTTTGTCTCCATCAGGTTGATGATGGACAGTCACGGTCGTGATTTCACTGCAATTATCAATGTTTGCTTTGAGTTCTTTCTTCTTTGATCTTTGCTTTCGATTCTTTGTTATGTCCTGCACGTCTACATTACCCTGGACCAAATTGTACGTTTTGCCTGCGTCTTTGGCTTGTGTCTAGAAAGAAAACAAAACGCATTTACTATGTAATCCAAAGATATTAAAGACGTAGGAGCTGAAACAACAAGTACAAAATAATGCCTCTGGGAAATAATGTTTATAGTGTGAAGAGTACGTACTGCCCCTCCGACCGCTCTCACTTCCTTGCCATTTACTTCTAACGGACGTCCAGTGACAGGTTTTTGTGGACCAACAGCAACTATCACCATCTCAAAAAGGGCTCTGCTGCATGGATCCGATATCAGGTAGTATTCTGATATGAGGGGATTGTGGAAAATCACGGAGAACCTATCATGAAGGGGCTATGACTCCCAGAAAACCTGACAAAAACAGTCTAGAAATTTGCAACAGATTTGGAGCTGCCTTTGGTCACGGGCGCTTGACTTGTCTCTCGGAAGCAGCGTGGTGGAACGAACGGCCGAGCGACCCATATACCACACTTTTTCCAGCAAGTGTTTACGGGCGCAGCAAAAGTGACATCCAGCAAGAGGTTAACTCCTGAGGCCGACGACTGAACGTAGGAAGCGACGTAGTGGTTGCTGCTCCTGAATCCTACTTGGTAAGTCAAATTTAAGTCCCTGTCGACCGGGAGGCTGGCTTCCGGTTCTGTGATTTTCCTAAGCCCTTCGAAGAATGTTTCGTCACCTGCTCTCTGTTCAT